CGTAACTATAAAAAGAAAACTAGTGGAATAAACCAACTATACATCAGAAAATGGAAAAGATTCCAATTTGTTCCCACAAAGGAATAAGAGATTCTTGACACATGACTTTACATGGTGTCTCAATTTAACATTTTATAAAAAAGATTTAATAGGAGTTCAAAGGAAGAAACCAACAAAATAGTAGAGAAGAACTGACATATTCATTTAGCTAACCAATATTTTTGCATGTTATGAAACTTTAAATTATTTCTATAAACCCAAAAAATGCATTCTAAAATATAATATGATAATGTCTACAAAATATTTTCTGTACATATCTGCCTGTAGTGTGTCATGTTCTCTATATTTCAGGTATATTTTGAATAAGCCTTATTATACTTTTAATTTTTGTCCCAATTTTAAATTGACCTCATATTGTAAGCTCACTTAAAAACAGACTATTCTGTTGAAATGTATCAATTTACAATAAAAGATTTAAAAAATCACTTTCTGAACTTTGAATCTATTTCATCAAATTAAGAAAATTACTGCAAAATTATTTGATAGCTTTCATGAGAAGCATGACTCTAATTGTCAATACTTAAAAGTGGAAATCTATATTAGTAATTTTGATAAGCTTGAATTCTGTTTGAGTCAATATTACAGTTTAAATAGGCAAGACAATTTCAGCTGTGGAATAGAGTCTCTCATATCACTGCTCTCAATGCAGACTACACAAAAGGCCATAATTAAACAATTTGGTTGTCATTAGTCATGCAGATTTTAGATTTAAAGCTGCTTTGTTTTGACTATTCTAAACCTAGACTACTGGAAAAGTCTTAAGTCAAAGTATAAGTTAAAGTAATAATATCAAAATGCAAATTCTTTCTTTCTTTGAGGCAAAAGCGGTCAGTCATTTCAGTGTACTAATAATGACTTTTAAAAAAAAAAGAAAACTAGCTTTCAGTAACTTTTCCCTAGTGGTTATTCAGTGATGTATTGGATACAACTCAAAATTTACTTAGTATATCCAAATGTTATTATCTCTTACATCAATGTTGAATACCAAGTCATGAAATTCTACTGTTGAATGATTCCATCACCCTGTCCTGAAATAAAATGACAGACTAATCTTTGAGATCAATTGATAAAGTGAAAATCAGGTAAATTTGTCCCAAAATGTTAGGTAATCACACTTTCCAAATTTCTTAATAGTATATGAATAGTCCATTACCATACAACCTCACACATTCTAGAACTACAGAAAAATAGAACGATTACAAACAAAACAAAAACATCTTGTCCTGCTACAAGGAAGAAAGTCTAAAATAGGTTGTAATTTTAGATAAAATCTTTCCTGTATAGATGTTCATCTACTCATTAGAACACAAATCATCCAATGACTGCCAATGTTTAAGTTTCACCTATGCAAATTAATTTCGTAAGCTGCTATTTGCTTTTATAGGCTTATTTGTTTCTCTAAGAACTACATCACCAAAAAAACTAAAAAGTCTAAATCCTGGATGGATCTTAGGATATATTTCTCTAATATTTCATTGAATGAAATATATTCATTCAAATAATGTAAAGATGACTTTAAGTTATTCTGTTAAATATTCTTTAGTTTAGTAAAGTGATCTTATACTTAAACCCATATATTACTTCAAGTGTAAAAAAATAGAGTACATTAAATACATTGACATTATTAAATATGCTCAAATAGAATTTTTCCTCTAAAATCTGATATAATTTTTCTTTTAAAAAATAATAGATATCAAAACAGCAATATTGAATTTACTCAGAAGTTACATTTTCTAAAAGTGTGCAAACAGCATTAGAAATATGAATCCTAGAAAGTCTATATTTCACATAGCATAGGATTCCTCCAGCCATTATCATAGGAAAACAAAAATATTGCATTTGAGTTCTGTAAATATGCTTAGCAACTGCAAGGACTGTAAATATTCATATTTCACACCAAATGTTAAGTCTGATATTTAAATTATGACATAATTAAAATGAAGCACATAAATATAATGTGCTAGAGCACTAAGTAGGAATTAGTAGCATACAGAGAAATAAAGCTTAAATGTTTAAATAATGAAGTGAATAACATTGCAATTAAAGTTCGACTCAGGTACCTAACATTTCAGGCTTGATATAAGCACATCTCTTGAACCATCTTACTAAATAAAGGTCTATTTATAAAGTGAGTTATTCTGTACTCTCAGAAGTGAATTGTTTAAAGCTAAACTCAGCAATGTTTGTTGTGTCGCTAGTATTTTTACCACATATTTTTTCTTAAAGAAATATTAATTAAAGCATAAGGAATAAGCACAATGGAATATAATTATTTATTATCATGCTAATCCTGTTCTTGTTTTTTAATCTAATCACAGATAAATAATTCCCAGTAGTAATTTCTCTATTTACCTGAGGGAAATTTTATTTCTGCAAGTATCCTGGCAGGCAGTTTTCCTAATTACTTCTCTGACTATCGAAAGCAACACATAAAGAATGTATGAAAGGAGCCATGTAGTATAGCAGTTAATTCTTAAAGAGTTACTTTACATAAAATATACAGGTGCAAAAACAACAATCCATTCACTAAGCAAGTTGTTAGCTGAGACTGAAATGTGTTATTGCTTAAGAGAAAATCCTAAAGAAAACACTAGTTTAGAAAGTCAGACAATGCCAACAATTAGTAATAAAATAATCATATTTGGGGGAGGGGGAAGAAAAGCATATAACCGAGCAAAAAGCTTACTTACATTCCTTTCAGGCGTTGCCACATTTTTTCAGTCTGTTCTCCTATGAGATACTTAAAAGTGGTGGTTTCCAGTTCTTGGATTTCTGTAGCAGTAGACCCCATGATGATACTCCTAGGACAACACAGTCATTTTCAGTAGCTAGAACAAGCATTCCTCAGTCTACTATAAAGCTCAGTTTACAGTTGCATCTCTTATCTATCAAAACATTGCAGATTTACAAAGCTGAGGGCAGCCTCTGCCAAAATTGCTATTGACTTTGACAGGCATATCCACTGCTCACCACATCACCCGCTCAAGCAGACATCAGTATAAACAGATCTCTGACCTCACGGGAACAATCCGCACATGTGAGCCCGCTACTGTTCTACTGACCGACTGAGCGCTCCGGCTCTCCCCAGAAGCAGCTCATTTGTTACTCTTCCGTGCACTGAAGCACATCAGAATTCCTACAGTTTATGAGATCTATTATGCACAAGAGAAATGTGAATGACTTTAGCGCACCAGAAGAAACTGAATTCCTCTCCACCAACGGAAGGAAGGCAGGATGTAATAAGAAAACAGATGGTAGGAACCAGTATCAGCAGCACCACCCTGAGAAAAAAAAAAGATGCCTGTTTTAAATGCCAGGGTTTTTGTCTCTTAATTGATCTGGAACCAACACTTAAAAACATATCACCCTCTAACAATAAATGCAACAAATATTAATGACAATGAGAAAATAGCACACACGGAACCGCAGAGAAGACAGACCACGTAGCTCTACAGGTTGTTATTGAAAGAATATGTACATCAAGGATGCTGTAATCATGCTTATTCACCTTCTCCTAGCAACTTACACAGGAGGTAGCTGCCAATTTAACCAGTGGAAAACACAGCAGCTGCACACAGCCTGCTCTGTGAATCCTTTAGGGATTAAATAATAAATAAAATGAAACTAGAGTGCATGCTTGTGTGCATGTTGAAGGGGAGTGTCTGTGTGTGTGTGTGTGTGTGTAGGGGGAGAGGGAGTGAAAGGAGAGAAATTGATGCTGCACTGCATGTGTATTTTAGAAGAAAAATAAGAGAAAGTGGACATAAAAGGAGTCAGAACTGAGTCGTCTGTCAAGCTCCGAACACATTGCCAGCTTTCTTTGAAATAAGCACAGATCTTGAGTATGATCCATAACAGCTATGCTAGCTACAAGCTGCTAAAAAAACATATATACTTAAAAGTATTATTTCTTGTTTGTTTGGAAACCCAGGTATAATTTTGTTCCTCCCTACAAGAAAAACTGTCTATTATATGGGGTTTAAGGTAGAGATATTCATAGATAGTAAGTAGATAGCAATATTTCTAATATGTACGTAGTGCTTGCCATGTGTCACAGTTCCCAGTACCCAACAGTATTACCTTTTTAAACTCTTACAAAAATTCCATGAGATAGGTAATACCCTTTTTTAATATTAGAGGAAACTGAGAAGCAGACATTCCCCAAATTTAAAAGCAGTCCTTCCAAACCAGTAACTCTGATTTCACTGACAAGAAGTCTTCCAACATAAAGTTACTATGCCTCTCTAAACAACGCTGTCTAGAATCTAGTAGTCAGAATTGTATAACATATGTGAAAAACCTCCGTGAAATTTTATAGAAAGTGCTGTATGATCTACAGATTACAAAAGGCTTGTTTTCCCAGGATTCCCAGAGTGGAATCATACAGCATTGTTGTGGATTCACATTGTAACTTAAAGAGAAACTTTTCACAACGTCTGGGGAGCCCTGATGTGCTCAAATTCCTTGCATCAGGAGCCCACTTAGGAGGCACCAACCTTGGTTTCCAAATGGGGTCGTCCTTCTACAAAAGGCAAAGTGATGGGATTGCCTCATAAATCCCAGGAGAACCTGGGAGGGCTTCTCCTGCCAGCTTGCTCCATCGTTGCCACTGAGAACGGGCCTCATGTCAGTCCTATCCCTGAGGACTCTGGCTGGGGGGCGGCGCTGAAGTTGCTGCTGGCCCTGGAGCAGCTCCTATCACGGCAGCTTCACCAGCAGGCCAACTTCCAGCCCGTGCCTCCTGGCGGCTGCTGATCCCAGGGCTGCCCACCAGCCTTTCAGAGGGGCGTCTTAGGCTCACCTGCCGACCACTGCTCTGTGGAACGCAGCCTGTGCACCTGAGGCCAGCGCCGGCCCCTCCCCTGCCGGGAACTTGCTCTGCTGGTCAGGGGTGGACGCCGCCAGGGAAGTTCTACGCATGCGCAGCTTTGTCTCCAGGCACCATCCAGAGAGGTCGTGCGTAGTCTCCACTTCTACCCACTGTCGCAAGAGACCGAAAGAGCAGGCCGCCGCTCCTGTGACCAACACGGAGTTTCAGGGTGAGCGGACTGCTCTGGTCCCGAGTCCCAGGTACGTCTGACGGCATGCAGGTGCCTCCTTGGGTCGGCAGCAGCTCCCCACTCGGGACCCGGGTGCCCCGCCTGCCACGGAACCTGGGCTGCAGGCCGCTGCTCAGGCCACTGACAGGTGGGAGCAACTGGATGGTCTTCAGCTGGTCTTCCACGACTCTTCGGTAAAAAATGGAAATAAGGTGAATGGAAAATAGTTTCTGAAAAAACAAGTGACCACTTCAGTTTTTCTCTCTCTTACCAAGTTATTTACAGAGCTTCACCTTTAATATCTTTAGCTAATAGACAGCTTAAAACACTCACAACCTAACGCCTAGGAATGTTTATCAATGTTGTCAGAAAAGTTAGTCTTTACTCTGAAAATACTGATTTTACCTTGTGAAGGACTTCAGTAAAAAATGGAACTGAAGGATATGAAATGGACAATCCGTGCATGCCTCCTTCGAAAATGAAATTTAAATACTGATTTCCAGTAAATTCCTAATTTACAGAAAATTGAGATTTATCCCTTGACCAAGTAACATCCATCAAGAACCTCTCCCCATCCTCAAGCCCATGGAATTGACTCTTATCCACTAGTTAAAAGCCCCCTTCTTTGCACTCCTTGTCCATGACATAGCCTGCCCCAAACCCTCAACAGACCCACTATAAGTTTGTGTGTCTTGAATTTGCAGTTCCTAAAAAAAAAACTAAATTTCTGGTATTTTTGAGCTTGCCTCAGCTTACCGTTTTATTTAGGTTGACAACTGTAGGGTAAGTGGAAGTTGTCAGGTTTTTTCTGCCCTCCTGCCATTAGCATCAGTGATCCACAACTGTGGTCTTAACACCTGTGCCTGATGGCGGCACCTGGAAGTGGTGTGGGCGTGAATAAGTGGGCACACCTGAGCCAAGAGACTGAGCATATGAGGACAGAGTCACAGAGGATGGGGGTGACTGAGGCCCGTGTGCCATAGTGCATTGGAGACCAGCGAAGATACTGAAAGAGAAGGCCAGAGAGCCCAGAAAGAGTAAAGATTTGCCTAGGGCTAGGAGGCCTGCCAGCCTTCTGGCCCCCAGGCCTCTCTGCCTGCCCTGCACCTACTTGCCTCACTACAAATGATGTAGAAAGATCATTAAAAGCCTGAAAAAGCCACTGAGGGCTCCAGGACTCCTCCTTTAGCCATCTGCCTGAATCAATAGAGAACCTGCTTTGTGCCTTGCAGGCACTACAACAACCTTCACTGTGCCTTCATTTGTAATCCTAGCTACATTTACTTAATAATTTTTAACTAATTTTTCTTTTATGAAAGAATCAACAAATATCTCTGCTCTCAAAGATGTATTTAAAATATCCATAAAAAAGTGGCAGTGCACATTGTTATTTTATGAACCAAGATACTATAGTCCTTGGAAAGCAGTTTGCCAATATCAAGAAAAATTGAAGGTGTACATATTCTAAAATCCTTTCCTATCGTAGTTCATTAGGGCTACAAAAGCAAAATGCCATAGACTAGGTTGCTTATGAAGAATAGAAATTTATTTTTCCCAATATTGGAAGCCAGAAAATCTAAGATAAAAGCATTAATAGATTCAGTGTATGGTGAGCGCCTGGTTCTTCCTGAGAAGGTTAATGACAATATTAGCTGTGTGGTAAAGAGCAGAAGAGTCAAGGGAGTTCTGGGTCCTCTTAAAGGGCACTAATCCTATTCATGATGTCTCTGCCCTTAGAGGCTAATCACCACCAAATGGCCCATTTCCTAACCATTATATTGGAAATTAGGTTTCTGTATATGAATGGTAGGAGGGCCATAAACATTAAGTCCATTACAGGAGATATACACAAGAATGTTTATAGTGACAATTTTTTAAAACTATTTAATTTCCTTTTAATTGTAAAATATTGACATAGTCACAGGGTGGAATGTTGTATGTATTGCCAAATAATTTTCTTTTTTTTTTTAATAGAGGCATATTTTTATTTATTTATTTATTTGTTTGTTTGTTTGTTTATACATGCACTGGGTACAGTCAGAAGCGCAGGAGGGTGAGAGAATTCACCAGAGCCAGAGTGGGGAGCAGAGCAGGCAGAAGGACCAAAGTACACTGCTGAGGGGAGCAGCGGGCGGCAGGAGAGGTCTGCGCGCCATGTGGGACCCTCCTCCTGTGGCCGGGGAGCAGCCGGGGATCAAACCAGCGCCGCAGAGGCCGCTGGCAGCTTCGCAACCCAGCGCTCAACTGCTGCGCCACCGGGGAGGCCCCAAATAATTTTCTTAATCCTCTTTTAGAGATTTTAGTACTCCCTCTGGGGTAAATGACCCCTAAGTTTACTGTCCATTAAAATAAAGATATTTCCCTTTAGAGAAAGGCCAAACATGATTACTGCCCATTGTAAAAGTATGAATAGTAAAAATGTATGACACAGTAAAAAGTTTATATGCATAAATAGATCTCATGATACTAATGATGAGAAAATATCAAGTACATTAAGAATTTAGACAACATAATTATGTTGTTTTATTCACTGGGAAATGCATATGTAGCTAGTAAGAAGTTAAAGAAATGCATAGGAATGATAAATATTAAATTCTGAAAAATGGTAATGTCTGGAAAGGAGAAAGGGGAATGCTATTAAAATCCACAGGTTCTTCAACTATTTTAGAAGTGTTTTATTTTTTCAAAAGGGTATAAATATATGTTAACAGGTAATATCTTTATACCTTTCAGTATTTCTGAAATATTTAATTTAAAAATTGTTTTCATTTTCCAGAGGGAAAAGTATGAGAGGGAAAACCATTATTTTATTACAGATACAAGATATCCTGACTATAAATAAAAATGATATGATGGCTGCCAAATATTGAAAGGAAAGTATGGGGATGAGGGGGCCTCCCCGGTAGCACAACGGGTTGAGCGCCATGCTGTAAAGCAGTCTGCAGCCTCTGCAGCGTGGGTTCGAGTCCTGGCTCAGCCAGAAAAGTATGGGGATGAGAGGTGGAGTCAATTTTACGATCACCAATATTCTTAGTTTATATTGTGGGAAATTAAATGGTACTATCTAAAGTTGATAAATCAAGATGTGAATATTTGAGTATAAATTTTTAAGTGTAATATGCTATAATTGTTACCAATAGAATGTAAAAATAGTAATATAACTTTAAAATATTAGACATAAGTTTGTAGTCTTTCAGAGTTTGGAGACATCAAGTAATGTTTTATGTTGCTAGACCAAAATATCAAAATTTAAGCCATATGAAATTAAGCATATGTAATTGATCACCAGCAGAAGTAAAAATGAATATAAGTAGGGCTTGTGGTAGTTACAGAAAACTCAGTAGGTGATTTGCAATTACTGTGTACCTTTTTCTTCTAAGTGATTCATCTAATCTGCTCTTTTAATCACCAAATTCCTGCCCAGGAATTGTTGTATTAGACTTAAAACTTTATTTTAAGACTCTTTTCTCCTTTAGATTTAAAAAATAAAAGTTTTTATAAACTGAGATCATCTACATGTATGTTTTATAGTTTTACTCCATATGATTTTACTCCATATTTTACTCCATATGATATGAAGCACACCATTTTCACATATTCTTAATAAAAAAAATACATATATAGAGAATTTGAAACAATAGTGCAAAGTGAAAAATGAAAGCCACCCATAAGCCCTGAGGAAAATAACCACTAAATTCATTTTATGATATGCAGGTGTATAAAATTGTACACTCCTTTATCCTTTTAAAATTTACTATGAGTGTTTACTACTCCTTTAAATTTTCTTAAAAATTGTTCATTCAGCTGCTACATAATATACTATCATTTGCACCATGAGACAGCACACCACTAATTAATTTTTCCAAGTTTCCTTTATCATAAATAATCTTTTAATGAATATTTTTGCACAAATATTCAGCACAAAGTGCTTGTCTACATACCTGTTTCTTAAGGACAAACTTATATAGAATAATTATTGCTTTGAGAGTTATAAATCTATTATAAATTCCTTAACATTTATTTAAATGTATTCCCTGATCTGCAATATATGAATATTCTAATCTCAGGGCAAACTAACTTTTAAGCGAATGTAGTCAAATCTGTTCATTTCTTCTCTATGGTTCAGGTATGCCTTTAAAGTTTTTATACATGTACATATCCAATACTTACCGACTTAGATTTTATTATAATTGATGTACACTTTAATTTTGTTCAGTGCTCTAATTTATGTGGAATTTATCTGTATATGTGAAAGGGACATGTTTAACTACTTTTTTCCCAAAGATTTCACCCATAATCCAGAACCCTTTGTTGAAATTTTTCTTCTACTCTCATTGATTTGAATGTGGCCTTCACCAAACGATATATTTTTGTATATACTAGTAGTTGTCTCTGAAGCATCTGTGCTGTTTTATTGCTCCATCTGTCTATTATGTAAGTCTCACAATTTTACTAATAAGATTTTGATGAATTTTAAATTACATTTAATAAGCATCATTTTCAATTGCTTTTTCCAGGTATACATTATCTGTCAATCAGGCATCAGTATTTCAATTCTTTATTATGACCACTTTGTAGATAGGAAAACTGAGCTCAGAGAGGCTAAGCCCTCCAGGTAGCACATGATGGAGTCAGGATTTAAACCTAAATGCCTGTAATTCCAAAGCCTTCACTGTCTCAATTCTTTTTTCTTTAAGCTAAGATGAAACTTTAACCTTCTATTTACAGCAAGCTATTTTTAGACAGACTTGAGATTAAGCAAAAAGAAAGTATATGAAACCTTCTAACAGAGTCAGACTGGAACAGGAGGGAGAGATGGCACAAGTCAAGGACTTCCACGCTAGATCTTTTCCATTTGGAAAAATGGTCATCGCAATTCCAGTCAGTTCTTTAGTCTTCTCCTTAGTTGTCTTCTCCAGGACTGGAAACAGAGCTGCCCTTCCTCTGGCTCAATCAGAAGTCCAGCATCTCTGCTTGTGCAATTTCCTAATTGCCAGTTTGAGTTTTTCTGCTACATTAGCCTTCAAAGTC